AAAAAAAAAAGTACAATCAGTATGAGCCCCTTTTAAAGCCATTCAACTCCATGTGAAACATTGTCTGCTACGCGTAATAATAAAAACGTAAATCAGGTGGTAAAATGTGGTGACCCACCCTGTATATAGCTTTTATGTTTTTATCCTCAACTCTCTTTTAAGATATTATTTTTATGATATATAAGAATATATTACATGTAATAATCATTATGTGTATTTTTTTAGTGGACAATTTGGAGAATCCTGAAAGTTTAATGGTGTATTATGTTGTACTTAGAGGAGTTGAAAAGTTTCAAACAGAATATAATTCATATCCCGGTGAATTTGATGATCAAGTTGAGCCTGACATTGTTAAATTAAAGGTATGTAACCTTTTTTTTTTTTTAATTCACCATAGGATATATAATATATTACAAGAAAAACTATTCATTACATTATAGGCTTGTATTACAAAATTGTTGAGTGAATGGGGGTGTGGATCTTTGGCAAAAGATGATTACGTACATGAATTTTGTCGATTTGGTGGCGCTGAATTACATTCGGTTTCTGCATTTTTGGGTGGATTGGCTGCTCAAGAAACTATTAAATTTATTACAAAACAGTATAAACCTCTTCATAACACTTTTATTTATGATGCTGTGACTTCACATTCTAGTACATTTTTTGTTTAGAAATAACTATTTTTTTTTTAAACATACGCATATACATATTATGTATATATATATGTTAAGTGAAGAACACAGTTTAATAATTTAAGTATCATCTTTATGCTTTAATTGTCAACAGATATGCGCGTTTAAAAAATTTGTACCTTTAACTTTTGCACCTTCTTTAAAAAATTGACGAACATATATTAATATATAAATTTATTATTAAGTTAAATAATTTTGCAAGAATATATATTATTGAGAGAAGTATCAGTGTTGTGTATATATATTTTTTAAATACATTCAATTAAAAGTATTCCATTTTCTCTAAAATTATATTTTAATTTAAAATTAGTATTTTGTTATTATAGGAAGAAAATAACTAACTAACTCGAAAAGATCATATTTATTTATTATAACAATATTTCAAAGATTAACGTTTGTTTACAGCTATAATTATAAAAAGTAATGATTTTAAAATCATCGAGTATTGCTCATTACGAATATTATATTAAAATCTAATGATTACATAAGTATATATACATAAATATATCAAATATAATTATTTCTAATAATTAATATATACAGTCAAATTATACATCAGATTAATCTTTCATTTGATCGCATGAATAATTAAGTATTTTTTTTTTTTCGTACTAAGAATTTCAATCAATTTAGATTTCGTCGTCCATGCTGTTCATCATGTTCCCATATATTGTTCATCAGAATATCTTATATTGTGCTAATAACGCATAAATCACTATCCAGAAAATTAATGTAACAATAATAGAAACAAGAAATATAGTTTTGAGTTCATGCCAGGGATTTTCTGGTACACCACGGGTTCCCCAGTTTTTGCAACCACTATTTTGACATGGTATACTTCCTGGTTGCACAACTGTCAATGTTGCGACACTCTGTGTCGGTGGGACCACGTCCACTTCTTTTAATTCCATTGCATTGGTATTTTGAACATTTGTTTTAATACTTTCAAATATTGACGACGAATTATTGTTGTTTATCTGTAAAAATAATAATAATAATAACAATAATAATAATAATAAATATTTCCCTAATATTCGTTAGTAAATAACTAAATACATTTTTTATCTGTAAAATCTTTATTTTTCTTTTTTTTTTTTTTTGCGAAAGACTAAAAAAGACATTAAAATAAGTTCTATTTATAGATTGCTGTTTTTTTTTTAGATTGTTACACAAACGTTTGAGCTATTTTTAGTTGATTGATTTTTTTTTCTTTGTTGTTTTTTTTTTTTTAATGCGTATAGATTGTAATTAAAGATAGAAAACAAGTAGGAAATATGCAAACAAATTTTTTTTCAATAACGGTATTACATGAATAACTATACAAGAATACAACTTGTAATGATATTCTAAGAATCATATAAATGAAAGATGGAAATAGGATTACGTGGGTATCTGGAATTGGTTTTTTTCGAGGAAGAAATTCTTCAGGAATTGGTGCCGGTTGATAAATTGAGGTCATTATTTTCGTCGGATCAAAATATGGGTAATCCCACGTAGTTTTAGACGATGACATAATCATTAACTGTAAATAAAGTTCTATTTCAACGAAAAAAAAAAGAAAAAAAATCACAATTTACAAATCTATTTAAATGTTTAATAATTATTATGCATTAGTGCGTCATTGAATAAATTTATACAGTAAGTACAATGGAAAGTATTTTGATCAAAAAAAGACATTTACAATTATGATGTGTTACGTCAACAGTGTAGTTTTAATATTTCACATAAGTATTTCCATTATTTGTCCCATTTGCATTAAAATTTCACGAACGTTGTGGGTATACTCAATTTTATATCTTAAAATTGCTAATACCTTGTTGAAATATCACATTAAATATTACTTGAAAGGCGGCTGTATTCACTAGAACTAAGAATTTCATTTCTGAAAATCGGTTCAAAATTCGATATTCATTTGTAAGTTCTATAACGATGTCAAAATGAAATCGATCTTTTTCTATTCGACATTATATTTTCTTTTATGCGTTATCCTTTTATTTTGCCTTTATAAAGAATAAATTTATTAGTATTTCAAAAAAAAAAAAAGAAAATAAGAAAAAATTAGACCTCTTTTATATTACATTACTTATATACTCGATTTAATGCATTATCAATAAATAATGTTCAAAATTAACCGATCTATTTGAATTTTAATAATTAATTGGAAGTTTTTTTTTTGTGATCGTTTTATTTCGAGAAATATACATTCATATTTTTTTTTAAACATGTGTATTACGGTGGGTCAAAAAAATGACTTATTTTTTTTTTTCAAGTGACACAGAAAAATGGGTTGCTAGACACCTTAAAACAATTCTCACCAAATCATCATCAAACTTTTTTGACCCACCCTAATATATATAGTACA